GTCTGCTCAAAGAATTCGCTGTTCCACTTCTTTGTAAATTTAAAATTTATTTCACCGCGCACGAATCCGACGTTATTTCCGCGTGTTGTAACAAGAGAATAGAACCAGTTATTTAAGCCTGTAATGTCGCCTTTTAGTATATATTTGTTATGTTTTTATTTTTAAATCAACGCATAAATTAACAACACTGACTTATGTCTTGAGATGCTTTTTACTTAATATAAAAAAATACAAATCAGAAATTTCCGCATACTTGGTTTGTAAAATGTGCTCAATTTACAGTTCAAGCTTTTTATGAAAATGTTAGAATTTACAGGCATGGTTCTTAGCGAGCGATTCATTTTTTCACCACTATTCGTCTTTTACTACATATGCCTTATTTGAGAATATCTCGTATTTGATGTTATTCTACTATTAAGCAAATATATTTAAAAGCAATAATAACTAGTGCATTATTAGATTGCTTATAGATCAAATCATTCTTATATATTTTAATTTGCAAGCACTCTCAGCGCATCTTCAAGTTTTATGACTTAAATTTCAATTTATGTGTATGATTAACCTTTTAGAGAATTACACTATATGAAATATATTGGTACTCGATTACAATGTGTACGATCGGCAACACTATTTTAAAAAAAGGCGTTCCAGCTCTAGGGCGATACATTGAAAAGACACATTTCAAAAGTCAAAATGAGTAAGCTTGACAGCATTCCCAGTGACAGCATACATAAGGCCGGGTAAAAATCGGCCAATCCGGTGTTAATTTGTATCACCGCAGCAGATCTAAAACATCCAGGTTTCTTGGGATGCCAGAATACGGATTCGCGGCTCATCATTCCATTTTCACTTAACCGATGTAGGCTAAAAGAAAATAGTATTACTAATGGCTTATTAATCTAGATTAATAAAGTTTTTATTTTTAATTTATTATTACAAATTACTTCAATTAATTGAATTTGAAATGATACAGATGTTTCGTTTCGTTTTCTAGCAGAATAAATAATTACTACATGCAAATTCGTATTTTGTTATCAGCTTGTACTGACCATTTTGTTTTCTTAATTTTTGAATATGCCATTTCGCTGCTTAAGCTACTGATGACTTCGAGGCGGACGGCATGTTACAAGGCCAAGTGAGTTTATTAACATGTAGCGACCGTGAGTGTCCAGGAGCATACCACTGAGCGGCATACGGGAAATTAGGATATAGCCTCAACAACCAAAACATCCCTATAGGTCTAACGAGAAAAGGCTATGACGCATGTATCTCACCCGTATCTGCATATGGGCTGGAAACTGTAACCTTAACGCAGAAAATGACAGAACGCCTTAGAGCAGCCCAAAGAGTAATGGAAAGTGAAAAAGAAACGAATGCTTGGAATCAGCCTACTAGACAAAATACGCAATACAGAAATAAGGAGGAGGACAAAAGTAAAAGACACAATCGAGCGCATAGCTGAACTTAAATGACGATGTGGTAGACATGTGCCAAGGCAGGACTACAATAAGTGGACAAAACGCCTGGTAAAATGGCGGGCACGATAAACAAAGAGAAGCATAGAAAGACGCTAAAAGAGATCGCTAGATATCTAGACATCAAGCATTCGGTCGGCCGAAGCTGGTACCAATTTGCTCTAGATAGGGACACATGAAGAAATTTGGAAGAGGCTTATATGCAGCAGTGGATAAATAAAGGCTGATGAAAAAGGGAAGCAGAAGAAGCGACAATATGTATGTGGAAAATAGAGTGTCGGAATTTAGCGAAATAGTTTAAATATCAGCTTTCAAAGCGTTTAACCTGTCATCGCAGTAATAGGAACATGAATTAGTCCATGATTTTTGGAACCGTCTCATCTAACCGAAAGACAATTTGCACCAACTTGATGTCCGGTGCCGATTGACCATAGCCGATGCAACATCTTGAAACGGACTGTTTTTTGAGAGAGAGAGCTGATGATCTGGTGCTCGGGCTGTGCGGGACTTCATCTTAGCTGTTCACCCACTAAAACCCATTCCTCACCGCCGAGGTGGTGTTTGGGCTAGCACCGCGGTCACCTCTGTCCTATTGTGCCTTCGCTTTTGTGATATTGACTTGATTGCAGCTCCCATGGGACCAACTTTGCAGTGAACGTGCTATCTTGTATGTTCAGTAAGTGTACAACTTTCAATTCTGAAGGCGTGTTATCAAATTATTTAGTATCTAAGCAGTTATAATTTTTACCCAAATTAAATATACTTGTTCCACATCGATACGTCGGTACACTAGTACAAAAATATACTTTTCGAACCTTAGTTTTTAATTAATTCAACAAATTATAATTTATATTAAAACATAAAGTAAGTCAAATGTATTTTGTTTATTTAAATTGGATGTTAAAAGGGTCATCATACAATATATACAGCGCTGTAAAAAATGCCCTTGAGTTTCTAGCAACACTTTGGCTTTATTGGAGCTACTTGTATCTTTTGTTGGAAAATTATATCTTTTATTTGAAACTCAATACGAGATGGAAAATTTACATCTAAGTAAACACGCAACAGCCGAAAAAGAGTGGTGTAGTTCTATTTTGAACAAACCAGGTGTTTGTCCTTAGGTAAAACGAAAAGCTTTTCAAGCAGCCTGGTCACGTGTGATAGAGAGTTCATATTTTGACCAGTAAACATCGTGCTACGCATCGCGCTCTGCAGAATCACAGTGTTGGAAATCGAAGTGTAAACTGTCTTACAAGAGTCTACCATTCTTGGTTGCTTAAAGTCTTTGAACTACGCTGCTATTAGTGTGCTTATCAGCACGTTTATTCAGCTGGTGCTGAGCCTTGAGGTTTTTGTTTGAATTGTGTGTTGCAGGACATGGAGGAGTCCAAAGCAGACCTCGCCGAGGAGGTGCTGAGGCGCTTTGAGGCGCTCGAGGCCAAGTTGGAGTCGACCATGATGGAGGTTACATTTTGGAGGGACCGGGCGGTGAAGGCGAAAACGCTTTTAGCGGCCAATAATTCCAAAGTGCAGGTGGCGACTGAGGAGGACAGAATGGAGGAGAGCGCAGCCTCCACCAGCGACTGTGAAACTGTTGAGGGACCCGCTGAGGCGGCAGCTCCCTCAATTGCCGCCAAGGAGGGCAGGGGCCCGGTTACGGACTCTTCAGACGGCGAGGGCTACCAAAGCTCAAATCGCCGTCGAAGGAGGAAGCGAGCCAGGCCTGTGTCCTCCAGTGAGGACAACTCGAAAACAAAAAGATTGCCCACAGAGCCGGGACAAAGAAGGGACCCTCGCACAGGAGCCCAGACCCATACCAACACCAGCCAGCCAGAAGTCAACATCGGAAAGAAGAAGCAGGCCACCCTTGCCGCCCAGCAGCTTGATGTCGAGCAGCAGAATAAGCAGGCCACCCCTGCCGCCCAGCAGCAAAGTCAACGGAGGACAAAGGTGCCTCCAATTGTCCTTCGCGAGAAGGACAAATACGACGAAATCACGCGCCGACTTATGGACAAGAAAATAAATTATGGATGCGGAGTGACCACCAAGGAGGGAGTTAGAACTCACCCTCCTACTACCGAAGACTACAGGCAGATGATTAGGGTACTGGATACGTACAAATACCAGTACCACACCTACCAGCTGGAGCAGGAGAAACAGCTGAGAGTGGTGGTCAGAGGCATAATCGAATC